TGGGACAGGGAGGGTGGGAGGGAGGGAGATGCAAGAGGGAAGAGATATGGGGACATATGTATATGTATAACTGATTCACTTTGTTATAAAGCAGAAACTAACACACCATTGTAAAGCAATTATACTCCAATAAAAATGTAAAAAAAAAGTAATAATAATAAAAAAGGAGGGCAATCAAACAAAGAAATCCACCAATGATAACAAGTGCTAAAAACTATGCTAAGATAAACATAAAAATCAGAAACACATCTTTCATAGACAGCAAACCCCAAGTCCACAGTTGTTCCCAAAGTCCATGGCCTCAATTTTGGAATGATTCATTGTCTATTCATGTATTCCACAGATGCAGGGTACATCAAGTTGTTTGTGGGGATTTAATCTGCGGCTCCTGAGGCTTCATGGAGAAATTTCCCTTTCTCTTCTTTGTTCGCACAGCTCCTGGGGTTCAGCTTTGGTTTTGGCCCCACCTTTGAATGTAGGTTGCCCTCAGACATCTCTTCCCACCCAGACAGGATGGGGTTAAAGCAGCAGCTGATTAGGGGGCTGTGGCTCACTCAGGCCGGCGGGGGAGGGAAGTGTACTGTAGTTATAATTGGAATGTGGGGTGAGCCTGTGGAGGCAGAGGCCAGTGTGATGTTGCAACAACTTGAGGCATGCTGTGTGTTCTCCTGGGGATGTTGTCCCTGGATCATGGGACACTGACAGTGGTGGGCTGCACAGGCTTCCGGGGTGGGGGGGTGGATATGGATAGTGACCTGTGCTTGCATACAGGATTCTTGGTGGCTGCAGCCACAGCCTTAGCATTTCATGCTCATCTCTGGTGTCCGAGCTGATAGCCACGGCTCACGCCCATCTCTGAAGTTTGTTTAGGCGGTGATCTGCCTTCTGTGGGCAGACAGGGAAGGAATCCCCTCTCCTTGCACACCCGGAAACAATGGTCTTTTTCATCTTAGGCAGATCCAGACATTTTTCTGGACTCCCGGCTAGCTGTGGCTCACTAGCTCCCTTCAGGCTGTGTTCATGCAGCCAACCCCAGTCCTCTTCCTGGGATCTGACCTCTGAAACCTGAGCCTCAGCTCCCAGCCCCCACCCACTCTATAGGTGAGCAGACAAGTGTCTCAGGCTGGTGAGTGCTGGTCGTCACCGATCTTCTGTGAGGGAATCTCTGTACTTTGCCCTCTGCACCCCTGTTGCTGCACTTTCCTCTGTGGCTCTGAAGCTTACCTCCTATCCACCCCTGTCCCCACCAGTGAAGGGGTTTCCTAGTGTGTGGAAACTTTTCCTCCTTCACAGCTCCCTCCAACTGGTGCAGGTCCCATCCCTATTCTTTTGTCTCTGTTTTTTCTTTTTTCTTTTGCCCTACCCAGGTATGTGGGGATATTCTTGCCCTTTTGGAAGTCTGAGGTCTTCTTACTCCTCCGCCATCTTGAAGGTCCTCCCCATACTGACTTTTTAAAAACTCCTTTTGAAAGTAGAAAATATCTGAAAATGATCATTTTTTTTCCCCAATAGTCATTTGAGACTATTTGAGTCATTTGAGACCACACAAAGCACACAATTGCACCAGGCAGAAAGTATTCAGGTGGATCAATACACCTGGCCAGATCCAGGATGTATGGTCTGGTTGATGCAATTCCCTTCAAAAATCATACTAACCTTTCAGTGATTCATACTCACTTCTTAGTACTTGATAGCTAGAAGACAATAAATTATCCCTAAATTTTCAGTGAGTCATAAAACCAAGGTCTTGGACTTTAGATCTGCATTTATCCCTGATGTGCATTTATTTCCTATTTTATTAAGAAATAATAAAATAGTGAATTCCTAAGGTTGCTGTTTTTATGACATGCTTGATATAAATCATCTGGAATATTTTAATATTCCCATGTAGCACCTATTCTTTTAGTGAAAGGCTAGAACAATTCAGTGTTGTAAGAGATATATGGATATCATTTTTAGAAACTCCTACTTATCCTTTTTGATTTCATCTTAAATGTTATGTCATTCTGGAAGCATTTCCTGGCCCCTAAATTAGGTCATGTTCCCTAGCTATGAAAATCTATACCTTCCTATAATAATACTCATCACATCCTATTGTAGATCCTAGTTATATTTGCCTATATTTCCTTCTAGTCTGTCTTCTTGTCTGTAATATTCACCACTTTATCTACAAACACTACCTCAGGGCCCAGCACATAGTTAGTGATCAAGTTAAAAATAAAAGGTGCTTTTGCTTTTAACCATTGACTATTCTTAAAATTCCTTTAGTAAATTTTATTTATATACTATCCATTCCAGAAAAGGATTTGAGGTGGTTCTGAGCACTGTTAGGTGCTCTTTTATCTACGTCCATCATCTTGCCCTCTTTTCTTTTTTCTTTCTCCTTTTAGACCAGGAGGTGTAAATTGGCTTCACTTTTACTAGCTCTGTGGCCTTGAACAAGTTACTTAATCTTTCTCAAGTCTTCTGATATGCAAAATTGGAATAAAGGTACTTATATCACAGAGTTTTGAGGAAGGTTAAATGGAATGAAATAGTGTATGTAAAGATATTGCCCATGATAGATATTCAATAAATGTTACTTCTCTTACTCCAGGCTGAGAAAAGAAATGGACTTAAACAGAGATTATATGCTACATTCATCATTATGTAATGGCTCACGTACCAGAAAACTAGTATGGCAGATACTAGGGTTCAGGACTTTTGCTGTGTGCTTAAATAAGCCTACCAGATAATATTTTCTGCTCTAGTGGTAGGAAATCTCATGAAAAAAAGTCATCCATTAGCTCATAACCTCACTAGCAAAAGCAACTCTACTTCCCAAAGTGCACCAAACACTAGAGTTGGAGTATTACAGTGTGGTGAGTACTGTAGGTCTGGCATAGAACTTCTGGACTTCAGCTGTGGTATTTAAACCTTTTTACAACTTAATTTTTTCATCTGTAAAATGGAGCTAATAACAGCACCACCTCATATGGCTATTGTGAAGACTGAGTTACATATGTGTGGGTTTAACACAACACTTGCACATAGCAAAGGCTCAATAAAGATTAACTTTTAAAAATAAAGTATATAATAAAAATTTATTTTTTGCATTCTGATGTAGGATTTATTTTTCAAAGTTCTCATGCATTCACTAATGGAAAAGGAAAAATACCTCTCCAGTCAATGAATTCTAGAATTGGTTTTTGGTCACCAGGAAAAATCACTGATCAAAAAGTAACATACAATTATGTGTGCTAGCTGTGAAATAACAGTGAAAAATTGTTTTTGTCATTATGAATATAGAGGTTTTATAGGAATTGATAGTGATACATATACTACCACTAGTAAAAAATACAACTTTTGATGACAAATATGAAAAAACAAACCAGCTCAGACTATTACTATGTGTATATTCCCAAAGAGCATAATTTTTTACTTTTACATATGGTTAAAAATAGTTAAAGAATATTCTTTCCTGCTTTTAAATGATATTGACTATCGAACTACTTTGCCCAGTTCTTTTTCTCTAAAGTACTTCCATGCACTATTGAATTGGCAATACTGCATGGGTTGATAGATCTCTTAAAATAGATCTCTCTTTTCTGTCGGGGACCAGAGAATGGAAGAGTCCGTCACTTTTCATAAATAATCCTTAGAAATTTTTCTCCTTCACAGCTAGTGAGAGAGAATACTTATATTAAGAAATTATTTAAGAATAGACAATAATCTCTCCTAACATTAGAAAAATTATGTTCATGTTTCTTGACTGGAGTGTAGTTTTCTCTACATGCAAACCTAAGAGACAACACAGATGCAAGACCTCAAGGTCATAATCCTGTGCTTATGGGACTGCACAGAAGACCTGCATAATATCTGTGCTCAACAGCCCTCTGCCCTCACCTTCGTGCCAAAACCTATCACTTTAAAATTCTGGGTGCCTGATAAATTAACACAGACCACGTCCCTGTCTTTGGAGTAATAAGAGCACTGAACATGTAGTATAGCTAGGAATTGTGTCTACATCTATAGGATTCTAATCACAACAGCCATTATTAAACTTTTCTGAGAAAAAGCTCCCTCTATGAAAATTTCCTTTGTGCTGTGAGTTTGGACAGATGAACAGGAGCTGACATGCAGGTGAGTCTCACCTTCTATCACACAAGCAGTGCCTATAGAATAAGTACATGATACAGAGATGGAAGGTATTTCATATCCTTGTTTCATGTAAATGTGACTGATCCTACAAGATCTATACAATATATAATATATTTAAGGTATTAAGAAAAAAGTGATTTTCTGTAGATACCCAAGATTTTAAAATCCAAATTTCCGCTAAATGTAAATGCAAACATCCAATTTCCCAAAGCAGTATGTGCTATAAATATTTGCCTCAAAATAAAATAAAATAATAAAGCATGGTATGTGCTGCTTTTCAGTTAGTTAATTTATACATTAATTTCTTTTTTGCTGTATATAATGAACCTATTAGGATCACTGTCCATTTTCTTTCAGTCTCCATCAATTGCCACCCTTCTGGATGGGTATATTTTCCCCACGAGCATAAACGTTCACTTTTCTCTAAACATCAATTTTTTTCTTTGGAAAATGATTTCTGAGCATCTTGTCCCTGGGCTATATGCTGAAAATACAATAATTAATAGGACCAAGTTTCAGCTCAGGTGTACCCTTCAGCCTAGTTGATGATACAATTTGAATGTTGCCCTTCTCTGCCAGTCATATTCATTCAATTATTCAATAACTCATTGATTTATACATGCATAAAAATTTCACTTTTCACATATTACATAACAGGTTCTTTCAGAAAACCCCTGTGAAGTAGGCATTAGTTTTCCACAAATCACAATTTAGAAAATCCTACTTAGCCACACATAATGAAATATGCCCATGTATTGTTTTTTTTTAATTTTCACTGAGATAGTAACTAATTTTGAAGAAATTAAATTATGTTTTCAAAGTACATATTTCTAAAATTTTGACCTAGGGAAAGTACTTACAGGTTTAGTATTCCCTTCAATAACTTCTTCTAGAGGTTCAAGTTTAAGATCCTTTGGTTAGAGTAAGAAATGGGTAGAAAACAAGAAATTAGTTAATTAAACAAAACATCATATATTTGAATGGTAGCACTTTTGGGCTAACATTAAACCGAAGGAACTTCATGATCTGAATGGAGATGAAATAATTCTGATTTTTTAAAGTGGGCTCTTCCAATAAAGATTCTTTTACCCATTATATCAATTGTAAGGAGCTATCTCAGATGTGTTCAATTTTTTATTAATTTGAGTGTACATCACTGATGCCATTAAAAGAGAACAAAGTGGAGAGAAGATTCATTAAAGCAGAGAGGGAAAGGATAGAAACAGTAAAAAGGAAAAGTTAGGATGACTAGGCTGATTTCTTTTCCTGTGGTTATATGGCAATATACTTGAGATATCATGATAGACATTTACACTCTAGTGCTAATTTTGCTTTGCTAAGAAGTGAAATAAAAAGCAAATGAAACCACTATTGATATTTGTTAAAAATGAAGGGTTACCAAAAAGACCTCAGAGTTTTCTGCAGTGATCAATGTATAATGCTAATGGCTCCACTGAAACCAAGACTGTAATATCTGAGGACTTCATTCTAATATATCCTAGAGAGTGACATCACCAAAATGGTGACATAGGTTGTTCCTGGCTTTGCTCCCCCTCACAAGAACAACAACTAACAACTATTGAGAACAAGACACCTCTGAGGGAATCCTAGAACAAGGCTGAAGCAACCTCCTGTACCACAGAGACCAAGACAGACTTCATTAGAAGGTAAGAGAGGTGGCTATACATTGACAGCATTGCCCCATCACCAGGCCAGCACAGCACCACCTGGACAGATCTTCCCTGAGCCTCTGGTTCCCTCAGTGGGAAAAGAGATCCCAGGAGAGACAACTAGCCCGATCCAGTATTTTGGGTCATTTTGTGAAAGCCCCTACTCTGATCTTGTACCACAAAGATGGGAAATCTGTGGGGCTCAACCACAGGAAATCTGACTGTGACAGAGAAGAGGGGGAGGGGCTCGCAACAACCAGCACATAGATCTTGGCAGACCAAGCTCATACTGCAGTGCCCAAGTAGTAATCCCAGCCAGCAGCTTTGCTCATCTGCAGAACCAAGCTGGGAACTTGGGGGAGAGCAGATCTGCCTGATTCGGATCTTCAAAGGAGTTTTGTTGGCCCTAGAGCCCAGTTTGCCCACGCCCAAGCAAGGAGCTGAATCATATTCCCACCCACTATGGTGAGTGTCTTCCAGGCCGATCTTACCAGAGGAGCTGGCAATAACTTCTGGAAGTAGTGTGGCCCAGTGGTGCTCAAGCCAAGAGGTGGGTGAGCAAAGCTGATTACCCACGAAGCAAAACCAGTAGCAGGTGTGGAATGTTCCCGTGCTATGCACAAACAGATGGATTAATTCATAGCCAAAACTGAGGGTAGGTCCTGGCATCTCCTTATCTGGGACCTTATTTGGGAAACTGAGAATAGCCTGGAGCTAAACCTCCCCCTCTTGCCTAGGCAGGGGATGTGAGACACAGCCCCACCTGCTATGGAGAATGTCTTCTGACCCCATCTCACCAGAAGGGCTGGTGACAACTCCTGGAAGTTGTGCATCCCAGTGGCACTTGAGCTGAGAAGCAGGCAAAGCCAATAGTTTGCAGAGCAAAGCCAGTAGCCATGTTCAGTCAGGGAACTTGGGGTGTGGGTCGGCTTGAGTTAAAACAACAAAGAGCTTCACCAGCTTTAGAGCTGCTTGTCCTGCTACATGCAGGCAATTATTCTAATTCATAGCCCTGTTCATTGGTACAGTCTCCAATGTGTCCAAGCAAGGAACCTAACTAGAGCACACAGGAAGCTACACAGCTCATTCAACACCCCTACATGCAGTGGTACTTGAACAGAGAGCACAGACCATGGCTTCCCCCATCTGCAGAGCAAAACCAGTGGCCTCACCTGACCAGGGAAGTCAGTGCACACTATGGACTGGCTTGGGTTCCCAAACAATGAGCTGTATAGGCCCTGGGTCCTGTACTGCTGCCATGCCAGGGCACAGAAGTCCCATTTACTACTGTATATAGTAACCAGTCCCAACCATCTAGTAAGTCTGACCAGAGAATCCAGGCAACCATGGAGCCCATCCTACAGCCTCACTTGTGTAGGGAACCAAGCCAGTAGTACTATCCAACAGTTCTCAGCCAATGGCACAACCCCTATCCCTATCCTCAGAGCTGAAACAATTGCCCTGCCCCCAATAAAGCATAATAGCAGGCCCAACCTGCTCAAAAACATTACCAGCAGACATACCCCAAAACCCAAACTGAGCTACTGAAGAACTGTCTCTGCCAAAGCCAACCTGTAGAGTCTGGAAGGGGAGCCTAATTACTCAAATGCACAAATATCAATGTAAGGAATCAAAGATTATGAAAAGTCAGGTAAATATGACATCACCAAAGGAAATTAATAAAACTTCAATAACTGGCCTTAAAATGAACACCTATGAAATGCCAGAGAAAGAATTCAATAAGATCCTCTTAAGGAAATTCCTCTTAAGGAACTGCAAGAAAAAACAGACAGCTACACAAAATCAGAAAAACAAAGCACGAATATAATGAGAAGTTTGACAAGGAAATAGCAGCCATCAAAAACAAACCAAAATAAACAAAACTCCTAGAGATGAAAAATACAATAACTGAACTGAAAAATTCAATAGAGAATTTCAAAAGTAGACTCAACCATGCAGAAGAATCAGTGACCTGGAGGATACAACACTGGAAGTTACCCAGGAAGAGGAGCAAAAATAAAAAAGAATGAAAAAGAGTAAAGGAAACCTATGGGAATTTGGGAGACACTGAAAGGGAAAAAGTATTCACATCATGGGAATTCCAGAAGAAGAGAAAGAGAAAGAGACAGAATGCCTATTTAAAGGAATAATGTCTGAAAACTTTCCAAATTTTGGGAGAGATATGAACATCCAGATCCATGAGGCCCAAAGGACCTCAAATAGATTGAATCTAAATAGGGCTACTCTGAGACACATTAATTAAATTGTCAAAAGTCAAAGACAAAAGAACTGTAAGGGCAGCAAGAGAAAAGAGAGAAGCCACATACAAGGGAACCCCCATAAGATTATCAGCAGAACTTTTCTGACCAGGAGAGAATGGGATGACATACTAGAAATATTGAAAAAAAATAACTGTCGACTAAGAATTCTATACTTGGTGAAGTTTTCTTTCAGAAACAAAGGAAGGATAAAGACTTCACTGAACAATCAAAAGCTGAGGGAGTTTACCACCAGACCTGCCTTATAAGAAATGCTAAAGGCAGTTCTTTGAGTGGAAGTGAAAGAATGTTAATAACATCATAAAAAGGTAGTGTAAATCTCACTGGTAATAAGTATATAGTCATTATTTCTCCAATATTGTAATAGTGATGCATAATTCACTTAACTTTTGTTTAAAACTTGTAAAAGAGCATAGCAAAAATAACCATAACTGTAGTAATCTGTTGTCAGTTACATAATATGAAAACATATACATTATAACAGCAATAACCTAAAAAGTGAAGTGGAGGTAAAAGTGTAAAGTTTACAAATTCTATTGAAGTTAAGTTGTTATCAGTTTAAAATAGGGTGTTATATTTTATGTAAGCCTCACGGTAACCACAAGTGAAAATCTTGTATAAATTACACAAAAGAACATGATAAAGAAGTCAAAGCATACTGATACCAAAAGACATCAAACACACACACAAAAAGACAACAGCATGAGAAACAAGGCACAGTAATCTACAAAACAACCAGAAAACAATTAACAAAATGGCAATAGTAAGTCCTTACCTATCAATAACTACTTTAAACATAAGTGAATTAAATTCTCCAATGAAAAGAGATAGAATGGACCATGCTGAGCCTAAACCCTGCCCCCCAAAACCCCAAGACCTTTTCAGCTGTGTGGGTTCTGAGACTAGCCTCCACTCCCACCTAAACCCCACCCTGCCTAAGCCCCACCCCTGCCTAAGCCCCACCCCCCTTGGTGGTGGTGTTTCATTTATATTTTTATTTTTTCTAATATATTTTTCTATTTTTATTTTATTTTTTATTCTTTGTTATTGTTCTGCTCCTTTTTTTTTCTTTTTTTGCTGCACTGCTTGTCTTACAGGATCTTGGTTCACAGGCCAGGGTTCAGGCCTGAGCTCCTGTGGTAGGACCACCGAGTCCAAACCGCTGAACTGAAAGAGAACCTCAGACCCCAGGGAATATTAATCTGAGTGAAGTCTCTTGGAGATCCTCATCTCGGCACCAAGACCTGGCTCTACGCAACTGACTGCAAACTCCAGTGTGGAAAGCACCAGGGAAAGCAACCTGTACGACAGGAACATAGCCCCACCCATCAAAAAAAATGAGATGACAAAAGTTATGTTACAGATGAAGGAGCAAGGGAAAAACCTAGAAGACGAGTGAACAGGATATAGACAACCTACCTGAAAAAGAATTCACAATAACGACAGTAAAGATGATCTAAAATCTCAGAAATATAATGGAGGCATGGATCAAGAAAATACAAGAAATGTTGAACAAAGACAGAGAAGAACTAAAAAGCAAGCAAACAGTGATGAACAACATAATAACTGAAATGAAAAATACACTAGAAGGGGGCTCCCCTGGTGGCGCGGTGGTTGAGAGTCTGCCTGCCGATGCAGGGGACACGGGTTCGTGCCCTGGTTCGGGAAGATCCCACATGCCGCGAAGCAGCTGGGCCCATGAGCCATGGCCACTGAGCCTGCGCATCCGGAGCCTGTGCTCCGCAATGGAAGAGGCCACAACAGTGAGAGGCCCACGTACCGGTAAAAAAAATAATAATAATACACTAGAAGGAATCGATAGCAGAATAATTGAGGCAAAAGAATGAATAAGTGAGATGGAAGACAGAATGGTGGAAATAACTGCCAAGGAGCAGAATAAAGAAAAAAGAATGAAGAGAATTGACGACAGTCTCAGAGACTTCTGGGACAACATTAAATGCA